TGATTTCAGAGAGAGAGAGAGAGAGAGAGAGAGAGAGGTGAAAAAATTAATAAAAAAAAATTAATGGGTTGGTCGGTACAGCAAAAAACTGTGACTGAGGTCTTGGAAAAGCTGCTGTCAGCCTGCCATTTTTAGCATTTTCAAGATTTCGGGTGCAGGTTTTTCCCTATACATGGGGGGCATAAGGGTTTGCAGTGATGCGGTTTTGCTCAATTTTTGGTGTGGTTTTGTGGAAGTTTTTATTTTAAGTTGCTAAACCAAGCGGTTTGTGGTATTTAGAAATTTTTGGGTAATTTCAATGCAGTTTGCGGTTTTCCATGTTATTCTGTGCGGTTTTGCAGTGTTCGTACCCCCCTTAAGCCTCCCCCATACAGACCTCCCAGCCTGCAAATAACATATATACCTCCTTAACCAAAGTTGGAAATATTTACAACTACCATGTTACGGAAGCTACTGTGTGCAATGTTCAAACTCCACTAGATGCGGAAATGCACTTTTCTCCTAATTATGAAAAATGAGAGTTCAGTTTATATAAAAATAATACATCAATAATTTATATTAAAGATGACAGTCGACAAAATTATTCTATGATGATCAAGATTTTGACACCCAGCTAAAAGAAAACTCGATTACTTGTTAGAAGTAAAATACTGTATATGATTCAATGACTTCCTCGGGCTCCTCTTGAATGTTGACCAGTTGAGGAAAGGCGCCCTCAAGATTACTGTAAACTTCTTCAGCCGACCAGCCTCTGCTGAATTGGAAGGCACTCAGGACATTTCCAGTCCGGTGTAAACTTGCTTTGCGACTTCCCCTAAGTACGGTTTGATCATGTGGGCTGTTAAGCAGTACCACCTCCCTGCAGAACGGTGTCTGCTTGTCAACTCTTGTACTCGCATTTGTCGATGTTGCAGACGTTGCGGTGTGAGATCGTGTCCGGCTCGCATAGGCTCGTCCTCTTGGTCGTTGATAGAAACGCCTAAATCTAGGCATTGAAGTATTCTGGCCCTGTGATGATGAGGTTCCGGCCCTAAAAAGAGACCGAAATTCTACCACAGGCGTCTGAAACACAGGCCGTGATGTCGTGCTCCCGGTTGCCGGTTGGTTTGCTTGTAGGGAAGGGCTTCGATGCGTTCTTCTAGTCGTTCTTTCGAGCACGTCTTGAAAATGAGGGTTTTCCAATAATCCAAAGACTAATTCATCGATGGATGACTGCGGACCTGGCGTCGCTGAAGAAAAAGACGAAGAGCCACTGCTGTCGGCCATGTCCTCACAGTAAACAGGGAAAACTTGGCGGGAATAATGGCGGGAAATTGTCGTTCATTAGGCATGCGCAACAGAAAAAGGCCCGCTGGATTGACAACGCGTGCTCATAACATATTTTTCTGTCGCTGGTCATAACGTGAATAATTTGGGGTTCATAACTTATAGATGCCGCCTAGTTCATGACATATATTTATGTTATATTTACAACATTGATTTATTTGTAGTCGTGATCCTAATAATGATGGTCTGGTACGAATATTAACGTTTTGGTCTACATTTATATATTTATCTTTTTGTCAAAAATGGCGTTCCATAAAAGTCTACCAGTCTGCAAAAGAAGAGCGATTTTGATTTTTTGAGCCTTGCCACGAATCGGCGATTTTGGTCGATTTTTGCATGGATTCGCTCTTAAGGTGTCAGCAGCCTTTTATAGGATCTTATCGGTTTTAATTACAGTTGTATTTGTCTGACTAGGACCTCGAAATACTAAACAGAAGGCTGGAACACGAACCCTTTGGAGTTGCTAGCACGACCGAACAGCAGGTCTTAACTTAATTTAGGTCGACCCAAATTAGAGTTTGGTTCGTCTCATAAAAAAAGTTCGACGACGTTAGGCCAAGGCCTAACTACACTCAACTTCGCTCACACCAACGGTTCCTGCCCTCTTTTTAGTGTGTCGAGGTCCTTATCAGACGAATACAACTGTAATTTAAACCTACCAAATCCTATTAAACTGCTGCTGACACCTTAAGCGTTTCTTAGTTTTGAAAAAGATGGCTGACAGGCATCGAAACCAACTACAATACTGAACTTTTTTGGGCTATGTTTATCACCTCAGAATTTTTTCCGTTATGTGATCTGATGTAAGCAAAATGTTAGAGTAAACCAGACTCCAAAGTCACGTGACTTGCAATGGACTTAATGGCTCCTTTACACGGTCAATATTCTTCATCCCCACAACCCAAGATGAATTGATTGAATTGATGATTTGGCTGCTACCAAATTCCAATGTCAGTCATTAATTAGGAGTCCATTCTACATGTTTCCGTAGTTCGAGGAGGCCTAACGTCTCATGACTTTTTATAATTTCTGTTAGGTCTCCTCGCCACTTCGTTTTTCTATTTATCTTACATTTTTGTACTTTCTATTATTGTGTGATAACGTATATAACAACGTATATGCCCGTTTTGTAAGTTTTCTCCCTTTTACCTTAAAACGTCATTTAATGGTAATAGAATGATTCATTTATAACATTTCACGATGAATGTTTAACAGCAGGCCTGGTGTCCAAGTCTCTGTTTATATTTTATTATTAGTAGAGGGCCTGCCCCTCGGCTAGTTTTTCTTTCTTGACACATAAATAAAGTTTCTATCTATCTATCTAAGCTGCCGCCGTTTGCGCTTTTGCTTTTCGCGTTAATATTTAGCAATTATTGAATGAGGCTGAGTAGGATATGAAGAATTCTGCAGATCGAGCAGGGTGTTATCCACCGAGGCCTAGGAAAGCCGAGTTCAATAGTTGTTTTATTATTCCTTCAAAATAGTTCCAAGTTCAAAAACAAGCTAAAACATTCTAACCATGGTCGATGTAAGTTCATACCGATAGTGCATCTTTATCGGGAAGTTTAGGAGATAAAGGTCTGTTCAAGTCTGTAAATATACTCCAAATAGCAGATGTCGTCCGTCTTCATGCTGTTCTTACCATGTTTTTGGACAATATTTTGCCGAGAAAAGAGTAATGTTCCGCCATTTTGTCCTAACTACCAAAACAACTCATCCTCGTCCCCAGGTTTTAATGGTCAAGGGTTCAATAACCTGCAACCAGGCTGCACTTTTGACGTCATTTTGACGTCATCGGTTCAATATGACAAAATTCGTTCCAAATTCCAACAGTAGCTGGTTATGGTGAATTATGCGTGTGGTTTTAACCAATCAGAAACAGGGAAACAATTTGAATGAATGATAATACATTTTACGGCGTAACCGGTCGTCATTGTTTATTCTTTTTTTTCAAGGGCGATCATGCATGATTCAAGACGTTAGTGGAAAAGCAAGCCAGTTGTCAAATACCTTTGCGCATAGTTGTTGTGAAAGCATTAACACCCGTGATTTTATCCACCATGTTCGTAACCTGCCGCGCATGTTGCCCTGCAGTATGCCACTCGTTTAATGTGTAATTAAAGTCAAAAAGGGCAAATTTTTGTCAAGTTGGATATGGGAAGCAACCGTCCACTACCCTTAGCTCCCCTTCCTCTCGCTGCTGGCCCTTTCTCTCAGTAGCAAGCAGGGACGGGTGTACTATGCTAGCTATGGAGAGCTTGGTCGCAGGCTGGTAACAGCTATGCCGATCTTTTGGACAGCAAATAAGTTTTCTCTAGTACATTTAAATATCAAGGACTTGGCCCTTATTGAGAAAGGTGCAAAAAGAATTAAAGAAAACGGCCTGAATCGTAGAGAGAAAATAAACACAGTTTTAATGTCTTTAACAAAGGGATATAAATAAATCTAAATAGGTCATTTATGCTGTCTTAAGAGCATTTCAACTGCATTGCCTTACTTTTAACTTATACATAGCGTATCTTGTTACATGAAAGGGTTGCTCTCTTATACTCCACGTTGTTATAGTGGTAATTCAAAGTCAGGATTGTCTGGACCGCTACAATGAGGAAAATTAGGAAATAACTTCACTCTTCCTTTTCTAGGGTCTGTTAGCATCAACTCAACTTTAGCAACGCTCATTTCAACGAGAAGCACCTTGTCAGGATCTCTCTCGTTGTTACACATCACTGCAAACGACTCTGCTTTAATAACATCCTGCTCCTCCCACACGCAGCAACCTGCCGTCCAAATAGCACGAGGGATCTGAAGACTAACTGGCATTCCATGTTTGGTAGTTTGAAACGATCTCGTTCGGTAAGTTGAGTAGTCTGCCGTATCTTTGACAATCACTCCGGTGCCAATTGTTTTTTTGATACCGTATTTGGATGTCCCTGTTAGAAGATAAAGGGTTCCTTTGCGGACAGACCCACAAGGGCATTTAGCGTACTGTCGTATCCGTCCCTCATACTTTACCCATGCTCCTTGATTCATAGCTTCAAACATTGGGGCTGCATTAGTGAGCGTGAATGTAGCTCTCCGGAAATCGGCGTTAAATGAGTTTAACGCAGCTGGATTCAGGTGGCCTCTTGTTATGGCGGGTTCTAATTTAATCATTTGTTTGTAGGCTTTGTCTACTGAAATACAAATGAAATAACTTATTAATCAACAAAAACCAGCGCTTTGTACATTGTTATTATGGATCATTCAAAATACTTCTCTGTTTCTGATTGGCTTAAATTCTTCTGCTTATTGTACATAACCAGCTAGCCTAGACCAAAGCTGGAAGATGTTTGTAGATATCAATAAGATTGATGACAGACATCACGCAGCGGCTCGGTGGATCAGCCGTTTTGGCGATAAGAGCTGGAGAAAATGGCACAAGATTTCACAGATTAGGCGAAGACGAAATACAGGAACTACCACTCCAAGAAAATAGCAGGACTAGGCAACTTTTAGATGATAACTTTTATGTGAAGCTGACAAGCCAGAATACGACATCTACGCCTATTCCAAACTTCGGCCCTCCGGTCCACAAGAACCAGTGAATGCGCTCACCGAATGGCGTCCTTTTGAAACTGCTCTCTCGAGTGTTTTTGGATCCAACGGATATGCGAATTCGTGTAGACGATTGACGCCGAGTATTTTCAAATTCAATTCAGTCCAGTCCGTTTCAGCCTGTCTGAAAAATAATCACTGCGCATACCACAGCCCACCCAATGTCACCTTAAAAGGAAAGGGGGTAAAATAATTTACATACCATAAGTGATGCGTGACGTTACAGGCGACAGTTGAAAATAAGGGACTTTGTATGAGAAATGAAATACAAGGACTAGCCTAGTTAACGGGTCGTTTCCACCCTTGCATCCGTCCTGTAAGTGCTAATTGTCACCCTGGCGAGGTTTCCAATTTCAAATGCAAATTAGTTGATAGGCACGACAGTGTCCACAGGTACTGGACGAAAGCCAGACGTGCCTGAAGTCAATCACAAATGACTTGATCTGATGGGGAAATTATGAAGCTTTTTTCGAGATGATCCCGCAGAGAGGAAGAAGAGGTTCCCTCTTGGGCTAGAGCGGGAAAAATTTGCAGCGGATTTGTATATCGGCGAAAAAAACTGCTTTTTTGTTGCGACTGGTCCAGGACCCTGCCAGATCGAAATGACCAGCCTTGACTTCGTCTTCTCATAGTTAGTAACTACACAGGTAGCCCAAGCTCGAAATATGAACATCGGCAAGCATCGGCATTGTTCGAAATATAAGGATTTGTGTGGGAAAAAAAACCTGTCGCTTCTGTAACCTACGAAAATGAAAGGATTTCAATAAAACACAGGTTACCTTACTTAAAATGTGTGTTACGTCTATCCTATGTTGTCCACGGGTGGATTTATGGCCGTTTTATGGGTTTATATGTAAACGGTTTTCTCTCTCCGTATATAACGTTTACCTTTCATACAGAGACCTCACTTCACCAAAAGGTGCTCTTCAGTGGGGCCCTGCATGTACTACAATTAACTTCAATTAATTAAAAACTACACATGATAAAAGAGTAAAAACTAAATTAAAAATAGAATCAGTACAAGAACAATTAAAAACTATTTAAAAACTTATTAAAAACTTTCAATTCATTGAAGGAAAAACTATATTTAACGTTATTTAGCGTTCGCAGATCTCAGTATTTCATTTCTCATACAAAATCTCTTATTTTCAACGGTCGCCTGTAACGCGACCCCGGCCCGTCCAGCACAGAGCGTCACCTATGGTATGTAAATTACTTTACACCCTTCCCTCGTAACGGAAGTTTGGGTCGAATGTATATGCGCCTACTTGAAGATGAATGTAAACATGAGATAAATTAACTTCCGAGTTAGGATTTCTGGTTGGTTTTCGAGTTGGATTTTCGAG